GTTTTAGCAAGTTCGTCTCCACAGAACATGCTTTCTACACCAGCATTATTTTAGAAAATATGTTTTTATCTCAGAAGAAGTCAGAGCACTCTTTAGCCAGGACTATCATCCTGAGACAAGGCAAACAGAAATAGGGTGGACTGCCTGTTCCACAGACTCCTGCACGGCACGACAGGATTCAGCATTCCTTGAAACCTAACAAAAAAGGATTAGTTGTGCTACAGCAGCAGCCTGTGGCACAGCAGATGCATGGGAGAGCTGCCTGCAGTTCCTGCTCTGTCACAAGCTTTCTGAGTCATCACAGGCAAGTACTTCCCTGCCCTACAGAGGCTTTAAAATACCTTAACCAGCTGCAAATCTCAAATGTTAATGCAACAGAAAATTAATTAGTTGGTAAGGATACTAAATTAATTTTATAGACCCTATTTAAATTTATTTCTCTTTTGTAGTAACTACGATTCACTATACTTTAAAGGACACTATGTTAAATTACACTAACATCTCAATCTTCATACTAAAATCAATAATATTCAATTATTCAATTCAAATTGCTATTTAGTTTCCAGAGAAAGGATCCAAGTCCTGAAAACAGAGGGATAACTGGCTTCTATTCTTTATCTAAAGGAGGCAAACTGGGGAGACAAAAGAAACTTGTAATATCTTCTCACTAACTGTATTTTATCTAGTTTGAAAGCTTCCTCCTTCTGATGCATGAGCTTGATATTGATTTTCTACGGAAAGCCTGCAAGAGTAACCTCTCTTTAGAGAAACCCTTGTATGACCAAAAAGTTCTCATCACTGCCTCTGTGAGCATCCAGTGGCCTGGCAATAGAAGCAGGGGATCCCAACACAGCAGGGAGGGAGCTCTCAGGCTAGGGAGTTATATTTTCTTTTACTTCCATTATATTCTATCCGGGCATACATAAAATGCAAACAGTAACACTATTTCATTTACTTGTATCACCTAATAAATGTTACATGGAATTCAAAGTTAAAATCCAACTGTAATTACTCTGAACTCAGGCCTGGTTCACCATCAAAAAAAATCAAAAAAAAAAAAAAGATAATAAAAATGCTTTAGAAATCACAGGAGCAAATGCATCTTTCCCCTACCTCATGCTCTCTTTCTTAGAACTAAATTCAACATGTCATTTTCTCTACACTATCATCCCTTCTTCTGTTAGGTAGTTAAATCAGTGCTGAACCTACAGCATCAATTCCTATCTGGAGCTCAATTGTAAACTATGTTATTTTTCAACCTTTTCCTTTTACAGAAGTGTTACAAAGTATATTATGATCAAGCACTCTCAACTAGGAAATAATAAATTTGAAGTTTCAGAGGCAGCCCTAAGCCTCCTCCTACACATGCCCAGGGGCAGCTCTGTGGCATTATCTCCGCTGAATCCCTGCTCTACTCAGGAGAGAAGCCCCTGTGCACTAAGGGAAGAACTATGCTTGAACCATAACTTCAACTGGTAAACACCTGATCTAAAGCCATCCAGGTCAGCAGTTGTTTCTTTAATATGCTTAAGAGTTTCCTTAGAATCACCCTTCACACGAGCTGTTAAAGAAAGTACCTGTCTCAACTTCCATTATGGAATGCATTTTTTTTTTTTTTTGTAAAATGCATTTTCCAATGATTTTACTTGACCTAGCAGAACGCCAAGGTAAAATATTACAATGCACCATCAACAATAACTATTCCGCCAACCAAATTATCCCCTAGTCACACCAGTGCAACCAGTCTTCAAATTACATCCTTGCATAAGCACCGATATCAGCCGTGTAGCAATGAGCCATACATAACTCTCTTAACTGTGTTGACACCTTCACGCTCAAAAAAAAAGGGGGGGGAGGAATCCTGTAAATAAGAATCATTTTTTATGATTTTCAATCGTAATTATTATAGGGATATATGTATATTTTTCCCCTCAAAAGTCACTCAAAAATAAAAAGATTTGTTAAACAGAGCCTTTTTAAAAGACAACTGCATGTACATGTAACAAGAGGGAAGAACAAAATTTAAGGCTCAAAAATTAAACAAATCTGCATCTATTACGCACACAAATGTACATAAAATTTCATTTCAAATATCACTTTCAAAACAATATTAAGAAAATTAAGATACTCCATCATAAAGCTCAAAACATTGTGTCCTATGTTTCGTCAAAAAACTGTCAGAAGTTAATGAGGTATCAAATAAATAAAGTCATAGTGTTCATTTTCACAGAGCCGAGGACAACATTAAGGTCTTGGTGTTAAGTCAATATATCAAGTTATAAGCAGTCTAGAAAAATAATACTATTTTTCAAAGAGAAAATAGAAGTGGTAGATGGTCCAAGAGCATCTGAATACTTCAGTAGCACTTTCAAATCTGCTGAGTTATGTATTTCTTAACAGCTTTCAAATGCCATTACAAACATTTGAAAAAGTGGTTTATCCACAATGGAAAGAAAATCCATGTGGTGCAGGCCTCTCAACTGCGGGCAGCCACGCACAGCGTGCCGGGGCACAAGGCAACTCTTTCTGTAAGGAGCAGAAGCGAATTCCCACCACAAGGGATAGTTGTGCTGCCTGCCACTGATTTTCTTCTTCCCTTTGAAGTAACGTTTTCAGCAGTGCCTGGGCACTCATGCTGGCACCAGCGATGCCGCCGAGAGCACGGGGGACTCGTCCGAGCCAGGGCTCTGTGCTCAGCGGGACCACCGGGCCCCTGCAGTGACATCAGAGGGTGGCTCCGCTCCCAGCGGCGCTGGCTCTTCCGTGACAGGGCAGCCAGCTATTCTGGGAGGCGAACCAGGGCATGGCTCCCCATCCCTCACAAGCGATTAGTTTTCGACTAAACTTGGGACTGATCCTGGGCACGTCAGTGCCAGCATCATCGACAAGGAGAGTGGCAGCCCTGTCAGGAACAGGATTGTGACACTCTGGACAAAAACTGTCTTTGGCTGCTGCAGAACTGCACTCTCCATGTGCTACACCTTGCTCAGGGTTACAGCTTCTTTTATTTCTTCTTCCCAAATGGTATGATATCAAAAGGCAGATATCCTAAAATCAGAGAAAAACTAATTTATAAATTCTTCAAAGCAGTACCTGCATCACACATTTCAGCCTGCAGTAAGATTTGCAAAACAGCTTATAAATTTAGTGTTTGAGTATTATGTCCTTGTAAAATACAGATGACACAGAACATTCTCCCATGAAAGACGTGATACATAATAAAGAAATGTAATGAAAATAAGCCTTTAAAAACACCTACATTTCTAAGCTAGACACCAGCTTTATGACTTTTACACTGAAGAACTTATTTTCAGGTATGCCCTCCACCACTTTGACACTAACTTGTTTTAAAAATATTCCTCTTCCAGTTAAAACCTTTTCAATTTCTTGACAGCATGTAGATTAGTCAAATTTAATGTATATTTTTCATACATATATACATTATATATATGTATATTTTTCCTTTCACATGTTTCATCTGAACACATGTGTTTATAAAAATAGATCCTAAAAAATATGGCATTCTACAAGCTCTTCCTTGAGAGTCTGAAATACAAACACAGACTCTGAAAAAACACCTTGGTCTTTTATCAAAACTAAGTTATTGTAGTCCTGTTTAGTGTTATACATGAGAAATACAGGAAAGAAATTTAAAATGTGAACTTGAATACCTTATGCCATACAAACCAAAGTTCAAAGAACTTTAAAAGGAGCTGATGACTAATCTTTAGGCAATAGTTATTATTACACTATCCTTGCTTTTTTACACATCTCAGCAAGGTCATCAATTGTTACCAGAAAAGATGCAAGATTGTTTTTAGATAATGCAAACAGAAAAGGAAATGGTCAACAACTGTCTAAAGATGTTTTTGCTGCACTTTTTAAACCATTTTCCCTGCCTGAATATATGTGCAGTAATTCCTTTTAATACATTTCCAGATGCAAAAGGACAAATACTGTCTTCACCATTCAAATAATTCTCTCTTTTCCCACTGAAAACATGGTCAATCTCAGCTTCAGTTGCCAGTTCTCAGCACCAGGTTTCCTCACAGGGAAACCAGTCACAATCAGGCGTGCACCATTTGGCTAACTGTAATTATCTAGCACTTTATCTGATTAAAGCACTGTGGAATTAGTAACCAAATCTCTCATTATTCCTGCGATAACAGACAGAATCACCATTTTACAGATGATGACAAATAGGTATATATTTAAATTAATTGTCCAGGACATTACAGAAACATAGTTTGGATTAAAACAAAGTACTGATAAAACCTAGAAGTATTAATGTGGCATTAATACTAGGTTTTGTCTCCTTTCTACACTAAGCATAGTCAACAGCTAAACATGCTAGAAGCACAAATCAACCCCAAGTCACTGATTTGGGAAGACTTTTGTTACATATAATTAAGTGCTTGCAGGGAGAGAACAAAAGAAAAAAAAAAAGTCAGGTACACATGCAAGAAAGTCTTCTGGTAACCACCCAGTACTTTTATTACTTATATACTTAATGTTTAAGATAAAAATGCACTACTACATAAATATTTTTTGTTAGAGCCAAAAGGGATATCGACTATATATTTTTTCCCCTACTACTGTTTTTCACTTTTCTTAATACCAATTTTCCTTCAAAATTTTCCTCCAACCAAAAAAGCAGCCCCTCCAGAAAAAAGGATACTTTCCATCTACAACCATGATGTTTAACATAGTACATATTTGGGGGGGAAACACTAATGTTTGGGTCTTAACCAAGTGACAGTCCAGATGCCCTAGAGCTTGTGGTGCCCTCCCAGAGCGCTTCCCTGCAGCCCGTCTGCTGCAGCCCCGTAGCCAGCAACGCGCACACCAGGCACCCAGGTGACTCCACAGTCGGCAGCTGCTAACGCAATTTCACCTTGCAGTTTTCACCTTGGCTTTCTGCAGACTGGAAACATGCACCACAGCTGCAAAATTCTGCGTTTTCTATATCGTGCCTGGAGTTTCAGATACCATTGATTTACCTTGATTGTTCTGGTTCAGCTTAACTCCCGGAAAATCAGACAACCATTAAAGCTAAACACACTGATAATCTATTTGGCAGGACTTGCAGTCCAACTTGTAAAGCCAAGAGTTACAAGATTGGAAACAATGTTATGAAGGGAAAAATAAAACAAAGCTATTTTAGCTTAAACTTAAGAACACAGTGTTTCTTGCAGAAATTGCAGTCTTCCACTATATCTTAGCTGAAGAATGGAGTTCATGAACTGTCCTACTTAATTTCTCTAGGCTTTGAGACCAGTAACAGTTGCTCCTGACATGAACACATTCATCCTTCCCTCTCTTTTCTTCACTGGGCGCAGGTGTCTTTGAGCAGTACTTCCTTCTCAACTCAGGCTAACCACAGCAGCAACGCTCAAATCTAAGTACAGATAAGGTCTCAAGCAGCAATAAGTACTCCTGCTATTTAAAATATTTGCTTTCCTTAGTTCACACCTACTTAGCTGGAGCCACCAGATTTCTGAGCTAACTCCTCTAGTATGGTCTAATTACACTATAGCATTAAAACCTTTCCAAGACAAATGATAGATTAATGGACAAGATACTTTGTCATGACAGGTTTTCAAGAGCAAACTGCTCATCATCTCACCAGTGTCAGCATTCTTGGGAAACAACAAACTCTAAAAAGTCTACAGTTGGTAGCCTCTGTTCTTTTTGCTTAGTTTTTCGCTGCTGTGAAAAGCATTGTATGATTTTCGAACATGCTTCCATTAACGCAATACTATTTCTAGCACTTGATTTCAACACCAGTGTTGCAGCATAAAACAAGCATTAAACCTATGACTAATCTGAATTATTTTTTAGGTTACTTTCTGGAACCAGTAACAAGTCCAGAAATGCAGATTTTATGCTCAAAGTCTCAGTAATAATCCAGCCACGTTCCGGCTCCTCCAGTCTTCCTAAAGGCCAGCTCAGAGAGCTCAGGGCTGAAGAAGTCCTTTCCCTCTTCCTCCCACCCTGGAATGTGTGGTGCTAGCTTCGGAGCTCAGGAAGGAGATAAACAGACAACTGAAACTATGTCCTGTGTGTGGAATGTCCCACGTCCTCCATGACCTACACAGAGAGCTCCAAGCCTCCCACCACCTTTGACAAACGTGGTCATGTTATTTATCTGCTGCACGAGGAAGCGGCACAGGGCAAAGGAAAAGCCTTCGCTAAGGCGGGTGGAAAGAAAGGAAGATGAGGGAACATGGGAGAAGTGCACTATGTTTACGAACTGAGACAAAAGGTGGGATTTGAACACCCAAGAGCTCCATCAGCTCCTCGCTGACAGAGAAAGTCGGTTCTCCTCATGAAATACTTGGGGTGCTCCCCCTTTAACTGCAAACACTACTCAAGCCCAAAAGCTCCTTAAAATGGTGATGATTGGGAGGTGCAGGGCCTGGGGCGAGCCCGAGGACCTGGCTGTCCCCAGGCCTCCAGACCGGCGGGCCGAGCAGCGCTCGCTGCCGCGGCACGGAGGAGGCCAAGGGCC